ATAAAGGTGCTTCACGATGCCATAGAAGAACGTTTTTGTCTAAATGGTTCCATAAAGAACCTTTAACATCTGAAGAACATTTCTATTTCACAAAAGTTTCTTTGTGGCGAAAGAAGGTACTTTAGATTATAAAAAGGTAAGAAAGAGATGGTTCTTTAAAGAACCTTTGACTGAATGGTTCTTTGTGGAACCAAAAATGGTTCTTCTGTGGCATCGCTTGAAGAACCTTTTGAAGCACCTTTATTTTTAAGGGTGTACTTATTTGAAAAAGTAACTCTTGTAAATTAAAAAGTAATGCGTTACTTTGCTAGGCTACTTACTTGAAAAAGGTAATCAGATTACGTAACTCACGGTACTTCTAATGCGTTACCCCAACACTGCTAATGTCCTCCAGGGCAAACGTTGACCTGTCAAAAAGTTTGTCCTCTTCATGTGGACGTTATTCCCTTGACCACAAGATGGCAGTCAAGGTTCGCCAAATGGCATTATCTTGTTGAAGGACAATATTACGGCTTTTCGGATAGGCCTAACTATAAATATTCGGGAAATGGGAACTTTTGTTTTGTTTTGTTTTGTTTTATTTCATTTTATTTATTTATTTTTGTGTGTGTGTCCGGACTACATCTTAGCCCGATGGACTTGTTGCAGGGACCAGTCGGAAAGTCGCAGTCGGAAACCGTTTGATGCACCATACTATGCTTAAAAATGTCTACTCTTATAGCCTACATTTAATTTAAAACAGATAAATTACTACTAAAAACACTAAAAAGAAGCCTACCAACTTGTTGCTGTTCTTTGGTAGTTGTGTTGTATGAATTTATATATTTATAAGTCTTAAGAAATCATTCATTTATGCTTGTGCCTTGATCGTGTCTTTTTATTTATTTTTATTTTTTTTTGGTTTCATCAGATCTCTCCCTGTTGTACGCAGAACATCCATTGGGAGGCGTTCACGTAATTGCAGAAAACCACTTGATGAAAAAAAAAAAACCCCGACACCTTTTGACATGCAGCAGGCCATCGCTCATTGGGTTACCTCTGTTTTACATATTCACAGTAGGCCTATAGATTAACATGAATTTATTAGCATGTGAAATGGCAACACATGAAATAAAAAATACCAAATGGTGGACTATCATTTAGGCTACAAGGACATTAATAAGCCTAACTTTATAAAGACGATAGCCTACGTCACTTTAATGCAGATCGCTTATGATGAAACATAGGCTATATTTAAAATTGGTCTAATGTTTCAAATAATAAGGGTATTTTCACGTATGCCAGATAGCAACATGTCCTGTAAACCCCGTATATTGGCTAACGTTAATAACAGAGACATATTTGCTGATGTAAGCTAAAAATAATAAATAAATAAATAATTTAACGCGCTTACATTTATTTCGTTACATCGTTATTGTGAGCCACTGCCTAAGGTGAAACTTTGTCTTTTATTTTTATGCGAAATGAAAGTACAAACGACCTGTTTTACAAAACTCAAGTTAAACAATGAAAATAGCCTGAGTGTACGATACAGTAAAATCAAGCTACCCGTGCATGCTATGCAAATATGAATAACATCTAACAAAACAACCAGAGAAGCACCTTACAACTTTCTTCAAGAGACTGTCACCTATAGTATTTCGTAGGTGAAAATCGTATCCTTATCAAACCCTGTAGAAAGATTTAGAATTAATTGGAACTATTTTATATAGGTTAATCAACCCCTGATAAGACAACTTTGGACATCTATTTGCACCAGCCTCTTACTGGAGGACATAAACTGAACTGGACAATAAGTAGGCTAGGCTATAGTCTGGCTGTATGCCTGTTGTTAGCCCAGATTTGACGACAGGTGTAAAAGTTGCTTGGTCTGCTGGCTAAAAAATAAAAAAATAAAAGTGAAAACCCGAAATCATCACCTCACTTGTATCTGTTTCGGCTATAGGCCTACATGTTTCATTGAGTAAAGCATCCACCTTAGCTGTTTCTGTACGTGTTAATTGAAATAGTAAATGCAACTGGCAGCGTTTCTCGTTGATTTATTTTGCACGACGAGGCGAAGTTATTCTTTTAGGCAGCGGCGGATTTTTTTACTGGAGGACATAAACTGAACTGGACAATAAGTAGGCTAGGCTATAGTCTGGCTGTATGCCTGCTGTTAGCCCAGATTTGACGACAGGTGTAAAAGTTGCTTGGTCTGCTGGCTAAAAAAATAAATAAATAAAAGTGAAAACCCGAAATCATCACCTCACTTGTATCTGTTTCGGCTATAGGCCTACATGTTTCATTGAGTAAAGCATCCACCTTAGCTGTTTCTGTACGTGTTAATTGAAATAGTAAATGCAACTGGCAGCGTTTCTCGTTGATTTATTTTGCACGACGAGGCGAAGTTATTCTTTTAGGCAGCGGCGGATTTTTCATATTTTAATGAAGGCAATTATGCTATTAACTAATTGGCTGAAACAATTCTGAAAAGCACAACTAAAGCAATCCATGCACATGCACCTGGGATGAAAATGGGCAGTAATGCAAATGGCTGAGCAGAATTTTTTATGCTTTCAGGTGCGTTTTGATAATCATTGGTGTCACGTGTGTTCCCTGTTTTTATATATTGAATATGATTGTTTATCCACGAATATCCCATTGTGTTGTCAGGTCCTCGCTGTGAGCGCCTATTTTATGTAGAGTAATTAAATATCCCGCGAGCTATCATTGCAACAAGACCGGACAATATTTCAACCTGTCCATAATGAAATTAAAATAGTTACAACTTCGATTTTTACATGATTTTCGAGACATTTAGAGAAGGGCGTGTGTATTACATTCAATCATATTTTAATGAAGGCAATTAAATTGGCTGAAACAATTCTGAAAAGCACAACTAAAGCAATCCATGCACATGCACCTGGGATGAAAATGGGCAGTAATGCAAATGGCTGAGCAGAATTTTTTATGCTTTCAGGTGCGTTTTGATAATCATTGGTGTCACGTGTGTTCCCTGTTTTTATATATTGAATATGATTGTTTATCCACGAATATCCCATTGTGTTGTCAGGTCCTCGCTGTGAGCGCCTATTTTATGTAGAGTAATTAAATATCCCGCGAGCTATCATTGCAACAAGACCGGACAATATTTCAACCTGTCCATAATGAAATTAAAACAGCTACAACTTCGATTTTTACACGAATCTCGAGACATTTAGAGAAGGGCGTGTGTATTACATTCAATAATGCGAGGTGCGGCCCGTTGCCACATTCATCATCCCATTACTGTACCCAATCCAGGTCCGATACGTGAAGGGTAAAATGAATTACCGACGTTAAGTCGTCAATAAAGTCATTTCAGTAAATGGTGTCTCAGATGACTCCGGCATTATTCAACGGGCTTTATCAGCACTGGGGAAATTACGTCGCCTCTACACCTCGTGTAATACGGCCCTGCTTACCTTGATAAAGCGCCCTGCCAGCGGGTAGTGACAGTGCTTTTGACCGACTTTTATTCACTCGCTAGTGATGAACGCCAAGCTGATCAGGCGGAATGGGCGCTAATTAAAACCTATAAATTATCTTTTGCAGCCCCTCTCAAGACGTCGCATGCAGCCGAGATAAGAGCTGGAGTGCTAATTTACCGCCTGAAAAGGAGCGTGCCTCACAATGGCTACTTGGCTCAAATAGCATATTGATAGTGTCCTAATTAGAAATTTATTAAGTACCCACTCGAGCTTTTCGAATAAAGATTTCAACCCAACCTGTTTTATATGAATAAATGCTGCATGTAGGCTACTAAAATTCCATGTTTGCGCTAATTATTATTCTAAATGTTTTGTGTGCGTTACTACTTCGTTTTTTTGGCGTAGTATAGCATCCAGGTCTATTATTTTGCATAATTTGACGGAGTTCTTTGCTCACATTTTTAAGTCATTTACTTATTAACACGTCCTTGTCCTGCTTTTTACTAAGATGCTGTGATTTGTAGCTACGTTTGCTGCCACATTTTCTTTTTTGTGCTGACGGATTGTTAAAGCAGGAAACTGTCCTATACATTGCAAAAATGTAACCTGAACGTGATTCATTTGCTTTTATTCAAAACAAAATATTATTTAATATGGCTGGATTAACCTGACCAGCAAAAGTGTGCTTAATTAAGACTTATGTCAGGTAGAAATAATAGCCTACTTAAGGTAACAATTACATAGGCTACTTTTACAATTACCACTTTTGACAGTGTAGCCTATTCTGCGGTTAAAACGTTTCGAATGCTGAGAATAATGATAATACGGTCTAGTCTGTTGTATTTGTATTGCAGTTATTAGGTCAATTATAGCTATACCTTACATGTTATTATACAATATCCCGGATATAGCCTATTTAATATATAATGCAGTTACTAAATTAATTGAAAACATTATTATTATTATTATTATTAAATGTGTCTCTTTGTGGTAGATTCAGTTTCTTAGCCTTAATTTCATTGCTTGATAACCTTGTCCCACAGAATAATAATTTCTTAGTTATGATGAAGGCTCACCCCTAGCTCCGTCGCCTATCGCCTATACCTTCACTACTAACGGTCTCAAAAAAAGAGCTATTCGCAATGTTATTAGTGTCTAGTTTTGGCAACAACAACAAAACAAAAAAATACAACGAGCAACTGAAATAATGAATTATCTGGCTGCACTATCAGATCTTTTTTCTGTAAAAAGCCAATGCCGATCCAGAAACATCCAGCCCTCATTAGAGTGGATTTAATGTTCGCCAGTTTATTTGGTCCTGGAAATCCATCCGTTCTTTATTTGCATAAGATCGTAAAATTCTATTGGACATTCTCTGCTTGTGACACCAAGGATGTTGGTACCCCATTGGTCCATTGCACGTGTGTCTCGCTCACGTGCTTCCGGTTAAGGAAAAAAGTATGTGAGGGGCACCGTGATTTTAGAAAGAGTTTGTTAAGCGCGAGCTGTCACACTGGGCAGCGAGTCAGGGACTACGGAGCATCGCGCGATGCATTATCTGACATGAATAACGGGTGTGTTTTGACACTTGAAACGCCTTGATCGCGGAAAGCATTCCGATGCTATGACAGTCGCTTCTCTTAAGGTATTTCGTATACCTTTATTTTAACACTATAGACTGCATTCTTGTTTGTTGCTATCCGGATACTGCTCTTTGCAACAAGTGGAATTTTGGTGTGCAGACCACGATCCAGCTGTCATGGAGGAGCAAAAGGATCAAAATAGTCGTGATTCGACTGAGTCTGAGAGCGTCTCGCTCTCACCCAATATACCATCTCCTCCGATTTTACCTCACCAGGCTGCGCAGCAAGCCCACAGAACCACGAACTTTTTCATCGACAATATTCTAAGGCCAGATTTCGGCAGCAAGAAAGATCTTGGGAGTAGGGACCGGGCGCAAACCTCGGGTAGGGAGAATGTTAACCCAATGGTGATAAGGCCGTCGCATAATAGCAGCCTTTGCCAGGATTCAAACTGCAGTAGTGACAGCACTTCTTCGTCCTCGTCTTCTTCGCCATCCTCAAAGCAGACCTCTGCAAAGCTTGTCGAAGGAAATGGAACTACCACAGCAAGGTACGGGGAGAATACTAACGGGGGAACTTCGCAAGCGAAAGAATCGCAGCCTTTACTATGGCCTGCGTGGGTGTACTGCACCAGGTACTCGGACAGACCTTCATCTGGTAAGGCGCTAGTTTCTTAATTACACTGCATGATTCACAAACAGCGAGTGACGCTGCGCGCGTAAAACTTTTTTGAGGGCGCATCGTTGGTTGTAAATTTTTTTTAAATCACTGGGTAGGCTACATTAAGTTTTAGTCATTTCACTCGTTTTACGCAGCGTCTGACGCTATCGCTTATATTCAACAGTCCTGGGTTGTTTTGAGCCATGAGCGAACTATTGTCACTTAGGCCGCAAACCAAAGTAGAAACATATTTTGTTCACTTAAACCGTTTCTGGAGAAAAACAGAAATGCAAAGTACGTTCATTATGGCGTCAAAATTCTAATTCTGGTTGCCCTCTAAATTTCTACGCTAAATCTATACAAAATAATTAATGTAGCCTACTATAACACCAACTACCATCAATAGAAAAGAGGAATACTAGGCTACGTAGCTGTGCTAATGTGAAAAATATAGATCATATTTATAGATTAATATTTAGATAATAGTAATTTGTTTAAAAGATTTTGCTATCCACAGTTTCTCAGCGTATTGTTATTGGTGTGATGAATCTGTTTACTGTAGCATTTCATTTGTCTATGTAAATGTTTTAAATATAAAATATTTGTGTTAATAATGCCAATACAAATAGTTTAATCTTAATGAAGGAAAGAAAAGAAGAAGTGCCGTGATATAGGGCATAATCAACCTTGTTTTGTGGCGTTCTTCTTTAAATTTACGATGACCTAATGCTGCTAGCTTTAGGCTATTTGTAGTGAAGTGATTTTAGGATATTCGATAGATAATTAACGGATAGGCTATTTTTTTTTGTGACAAACCAGTTAAGGGTCAGCCGAAAGGGTAGATTTTGTTGAATATTATTTTACTGTAGCATTTCATTTGTCTATGTAAATGTTTTAAATATAAAAGTATTTGTGTTAATAATGCCAATACAAATAGCTTAATCTTAATGAAGGAAAGAAAAGAAGAAGTGCCGTGATATAGGGCATAATCAACCTTGTTTTGTGGCGTTCTTCTTTAAATTTACGATGACCTAATGCTGCTAGCTTTAGGCTATTTGTAGTGAAGTGATTTTAGGATATTCGATAGATAATTAACGGATAGGCTATTTTTTTTTGTGACAAACCAGTTAAGGGTCAGCCGAAAGGGTAGATTTTGTTGAATATTATGAATCTCCTTACGTTAAATTGTGTGCAGTTCCTACCTTCAGGTGCTATTTCTACCTGCTCAGACCCGTAAACCCAATGTAATCATTTAGATTTCAATGATTTTAAATAATCTGCTTGACTTGAATAAAGCCAGTTCATTTGGCGGTTATCACATGAAGAACATTTTCTGACTAAACATTTTACAGTGCATACCTGACACAAAGTCGGCTGTTGGAAAAGACGCTTTGATTGACTTCACTGATTGACTTACTGATTGAGCTATCAGACACTGGACTTTCACAGACGGCAAGCAGAATTTCGATCATCCGAGTGCAGTTTCCTGAAGGAAAGACTTAGGGTTCTGTTCAGTTGTTGATTGGTAATGCAGAAAATAGTTTTCTTGACGTGCGTGTAAATACCACATGCGTGGTGATAGGTTTGCTTTGCATAATATGCTGTTAACAGGTCTTTAGCTATTGCTTTTTTTTTTTTTTTTTTTTTAAATTTCCCCCCTTTTTACTAAAGTAGTCAAACCTGTTCATTAGAAGGGGGTGTCCCAATACTTTTGGC